TAAATATACATATATACACGGTATATCATCCATTCCTCCTCCTCGCATCTTGCCTGCGCACAGTCGGTGCGGTGCCTTTTAGCACCCTCAGTAGTAGTAGAATCCCTTCCCCGTCATGGATTGTCCGCCAGGATCTGGCTGGACGAAATCAAATGCAAATCACAAAATATTAGAGAAACTTAGTTGTTTTAGATTCGTTAGTAGTAGTTGTGTAATGAACAGCTTGCCTGCTAATATGCTAACCTAGCTTTGTTTACCTTGGTAGCTAACACGATATGAACGTTAGCTTGGAGGAAAGGCAACTATAATGCAGTGTAATAAAACTACTATGAACAAAAGCTAGTGGTTCATATTAGGCTAGCAATAACGTGTTTATAATTGCAATCGTATACGGGTATTCTGCTACGTTTGGTCATACAATGTAACTTGCATGAATACATTGTTTTGCGCTAGCATACAGCTAGCCTCGTTAGCTACATGCAGTATATGTACGGTCACAATGTACGGTAAATCACAGTACAGTATACTGTATGAGTATTCCGTGTGTGTGACTGCAGACATTCTCCTGCCATGACAAACATGTAAGGCCATCTGCTGACATTGTAGTTGATATATTTAAACGCTAGCAACGTAGCATCACAAAAATGTTTTTCTGACCAAAACTAGCTCTAGCTCCGTGTGTTAGATCGCTACGCCAGCTATAATGTAATTACGTTTCGCGACTGACCGGCAAATCACCCGGAGTATACTGTCAATAGGTATTTTGTGTGTGAATGCAGACATTCTCCCTCCTGCTATGAGATACATGTATGCAAGGCCATCTGCTGATATTAGAGTTGATATATGGAAACTCTAGCAACTTAGTTAGCACAGTTAGCACTGTGTCAATGGCTTAGCAGTCCAACACAGTTTACACATTTAAACAGTCTTGTTTGATAAATACACAAATAACAATGCAAACTTACAGGTTGTATACCCAGATCTTCCCCTGCTCCAAACGGTCCAAACAAGCTGTGCATATCCGGCCTCAAACTGGGCAATGTTTTGGAAGCTTTCGTCTGTGAAATGCCGGTTCTTCGAACCTCTGGAGGAGGAACACGCCGCTGCTGGTGTGGCCATAGCTCTTCGGGATTGGTCCATTTCGTTCCGGGTACCGCATGACATCAGGCGGTACCCGGAACTAAATGGAAGACTCAAATGGGCAGTGACGTATCTCCAACGAGGCGTTTTGGGGAGGTATTTTCTGTGTTAGAGTTTTACTCGCTACAGGGTGTACTTTGAGGGTTTTGACTCTGCACACCGTTTACATGCATAAAAACCTTCATAACACACAAGGGGACGGGTAATAACCGGAAAAGCATGACATGGGAGCTTTAAAGGTAATTTAAACGGTATCTTAAACGGTTAAAAACTGTGGCTAGACGGCGTATTTCCGACAGGTTGCCCATCGCTGTCTCTTTAGAGGCTGGCGCCGTGGGAATTGTAGTCCTTTATACTGTGTTGACTACAGATGTCACGATTAGGTGGCCTTTTTTTTAATAAAAACAAAATACTGGCTCTATGTACAAGCATGCTTTGAAACTGCACACATTTTTATCCAGATATATTGGACTTATTTTTTATATGATTTCATTCTTATTTTTATTGTATTTTGCTTATTTTAATTGATGTTTCTTGTGTTTTTGCAATACTTCCTTAATGTTTAATTTAATTTCTCTTACTATGGTAAAGTAAAACAATTAATTAATTATACAAATGCCTGAATGCTGGTAGGCTATAGGTGTTTTCCCCGCTTCAAGGTATAAGCCAACTGCCTGCTGGCACTTTTCTTAATACACTGCCCAGGCGACTCTTTAATAGCCTCAAAATTATCTCAACATGTTTCCAGGCTGTGACCATTTCACATAGCTGCCTGTCACACTTATAGGCCTGCTCAAGGAAATCCAAGGTGACATTTTCACAGCTACTTGAAATGGAAAATTCTTTAGGCCTTTTCATGATTTCTTCTTTTGATGAGGTTTACATATAATTGAAGTTGACAGATTTGTTATTTTTGGAAACTGTGGCAATTTGAGTTGAGCTCAAAATAAAGTTCTGTGGGTTGAAAACAATGTTAGTCTGTGCAGCGTGAGTGGGAAATTATTATTATTATTATGCTAAACATAAAAAAAGTAAATAAAGAGTCAACCAAAAGAGCAAAGACAGTTTCCTGTTTTGTGTATCTAACCCTATTCGGAGTTGTAACTTGCTAGAGAGCACCCTCTAGTGATTTATCCTTTGAAAGTTTAATTGCACTGAACTTCTCTACAGCAGGCAAACTGCTCACTGTCATGTTTCTAATCTGCATCATGATTGTAAAATGGGGTGAAAATATCTCAAAAGTCACAGCTTTTGACATAATATTTGACTCAAATGCAATCATTACATGTAGGATATTTACAGGTAACCAGTAAATAAAAATGTTCGCCAAAACTGAAAATGAAAAAGATGGCTTTTTTGCTTGGGAAATGGTCTAGACTACAAATGTGTTCATTAATAGACGGTAAGTAATTGTTTTGTTTATGTGGGCTGCAGGCTGAGTCAGAGGTAATTGAGCAATGATTTAGTCATCCATGTGATGCACACCAAGCACACACTTTGTCTTTGCCATTTATTGATTTCTTTTTCCAACATTCACACAATTAAAGATCCTTTAACAACTCATTTTGTGAAGCCATTTTCAGGATCGTGAAATCCACATGGTAGTTTTGTATTGAAATAAACAAACTGCAATATAGACTGAGCCATGTTAGAGTGTATTAACAATTAAGTTATTCAAAAAACCTTAAATGAGGTCTTAAATGTACATTGTAAAGCTGTTTCCTCTGCACATCAAAACAATGGGAAACCTTTGTTTGAAATCATTAATTTTTGTAAGCCACTCAATACTGACTGTGTCTGTTGATTGTGTATAGGATATACACAGTACTCAAGTTGTAAAAAGAAATCAGGGGGGATGGTGAATGTTATCATATGGGGACATAACTTTAGCTGATAACCCGCAGAGGGTGGGAGACCAACCAGCATAAAGATAATTATTATACTCCTAAAACAACATGCATGTTATGGATGTTCAGATACTCCTGACATTGCTCTTGACCAAGGCACCTCAGAATTAGAGTCGGTCCCCGGGCTGCCATGGCACCACTAACATTTAGGGTCAAATGCAGAGGACAATTAGTGCAAAATCTTTTTTTCACTTTAATTTAAAGGGGGGGAGGGGATAAAAAAATGTGGTTATAATGGAAGTCTATGGTACAAATCTTGTAGGTTAACAGTCCCTCATTTATTATTCAGATGGATCAGCTGATGATACTAATAATAAAGTCAAATGTGTTTTTAGAATATTGAATTATAGTGTATTTTTTTAAAAAAGCAGATACTGGTATACGATCAAAACTGGTATCTAAAGGGTTAATTTTGTATCGTGATTTATTAAATCATTATGTAAATGTAACACTTCATGAAAAAATTGAGGAAAGAAATTAGAACAAAATTGATCCGTCATCATTTTCTTGCAGTTCAAATACAAATCTTTTATGTTAACATTCCCAATGTTACAACAGGTAACAGGGCATTAAGTGCAAATTGAAATTGTTTACAAAATATGAAAATATATTAAAAGATTATACAGATAATACAAAATAGGACCAATTGTGTCAATGGCTGCCTACTCCACTCTCCCCCATCTCAGAAGTTTCCAAAGATTTTCATAATCATGCTTTTTGGTCTCAATTTTTCTGGCTCTTGCTTTCGGATTGTTAGCTAAGCAATGGCTTTGAAGCCAAGTCTTGACATATACATCTGGTCTGAACTTGTTCAGTGGAGGGTCAACACACTTGATGAAAAGCAAGGCTGACATGCTTTTTACCTCTAGGGAGCTTCTAGTTGTGGTTAACATGTTCATCTGACTAAACCCACGTTCACACTCAGCTGTGGAGATGACCAGAGTGTTCACTGCTTGAAGGAGGGGTTTCAGCTCTTCTGGTACTGGTGGTATCATTTCATCAACAGTTTTGAGTCTTACCAGCTAGCTAACACGAGAGAAAAACGTAGCTAAACTCCAAACTAAGTTGTTATTCCACCTTTGGTGACTAAAGTAATGAGTAATGACTAAGATTACTGACTCTTGACTTACCTGAAATGTTATTTTTAGTCTTTTTAAATATGAAGTCCCTCAGATTGCGTTGTCCTCCTGGTCGCTTGGCCATTGTGATGACCGTTACCTGCGCTAGTGCTGCTATGCAGCTTCTGGCATCAATCAAACGGGCACATCACGGCACTCGCATAGCATAGCGTCAGTGACTTGGTAAAAATGTCATTGCATGTGTGCGTGCTCCCTCGCCCACAGTATTTTACTCAATATGCGCAAAATTAATGTTGAAATAGCAGTAATACCAGTGCCACGTTCATTGATAAAATAACATAAGGGATGGAAAGGGGGGATGGCAGTTTTAGAAGGGGGATGATTTTGACCATTTTTATTTCAGGGGGGATGCCATCCCCCCTCATCCCCCCTCAACTCGAGTACTGGATATACATATGTTATACATATTTTAATTGTTATATTCGGGATTGTGGGAAACGGTATTTTGATCTCTCTGGCTGTACACACACACTGAAAGATTGACAATAAAGTTGACTTTGACTTTTTACTGATCGAAATATCTTTAAAAAGAAAATTCCACATTCATTCGTTTTGTCATAATGTAAAATACTACTATCATGCAATTAATTGTCTTATAAAATAGTAGGTAGGCTATAATTGCATTGCCTCTGTTTGTGTTCCGGTGTCCTATTGGTAGATTCACAATAAAGAAATCGGCAAAAACCAACAATGCGATTTGTAAAATTAAATGTTTTAGAACCAATTCATTTCAAGCACTTTTACTTAGAAAAAAAATCGCATTTCCCCAGGTTTGCACCTTATCGCATTTTATTTTGAAATCAGCAACCCGGAAGCCTTCTGATGCCACTTTTCTTCTTCCTTCCTACTTCCTTCTTCCTCTGGTGTTTTTGGCACACTCTGGTCAATATGGCTCAGGCAGTACAGAAACTCGTTGCAAAAGTACCAGCTGTAGTCGGTGGTAAGTTAAGTTTACTCTCCCAATTATAAACGGTGTCGGTGGAGTGAACCGTGTAGCAGCAGCAGCAGCTCGGTCACGTTGTCCCAGCTTGTTAGCACACCTTCTGTGTGACCTTTAGTACGCTCAGGTGTCAATGCGAATCCACCTCTGCAGCAGGTTGTCCTAGAAAACCTTTTTTGTTTTTTTGTTATTGTTGCTGTATATAGTTATATATAGAGAAAGGTGAAATGGTTCAGTGACCTTTGACTTTGCTGCTCCTTACATAGCTAATGGTATTTCCTAACACAATGTCCCCGACTTTTAAAACTGCACAACAAGTTGTTTTTAAAATAGTAAAATAGTTCTATATCTTATTTCCCTTTACTGTGTTTATGAATGCACCATTATACACCTTAACATATTCCTTGTGTGCGTTAACCAACTTGGCAATAAACCTGATTCTGAGTGTGTTTGTATCTCTTTCAGGGGTTTTCACCTACTCCAAACCCCGACTGGCTAAATTCTGGTACTATGCCCGGGTGGAGCTCGTCCCCCCGACCCCTGCTGAGATCCCCAAAGCCATCGAGCAGGCATCCGCCATCCTCAAGAGCTACAAGGCAGGACGCCTGGGACAGACCACTGTAAAGGTGAGTCTGTACAAGTGTGACAATTACTTGTGTTGTATTTATATGTGTGTATATTTTGTTTTTAAAATGATAATGTATTTTTTTGTTGGCTTGATTCTAGAAAAGGGTGTACCTGCCTGGATTAATAGCAGTTAATTCTAAAAACTACAGCCTGCATTGATGTGTTGTCCCCTAAACAGTCTATGGTTGTCACCTTTTTTGTTTGTAAGGGAACATAAAGGTATTACGGCCCAGAACAGTTATCTCTGAAGTCATTAAGTGCTGAAACAAAAGGGCCTCAACATTTTTCTTCATTAATAAATAAATCATTTGGTCAATGAAATGTCAGAAAATAGTGAGCACATGTTTTCCCATTTTCTTATTGTCCAAGGTAAGGTCTTTAAATGCTGTGTTTTTCATTCAAACCACTAATATATTCTGTTTTAATATGACGTAAAATGGAGAAATGCATGAACAATTACAAAAATAGTTGCCGATTATTTTTCTGCTAAACGATTTATCTTTGCAGCTTGAGATTTGTCAATTTATCATTCAGTCAAGCAACATACAATTACTAATATCCACTGGGAAAATTAATATGATGCCGAACACTAGCTGAGGTTGGACATTTTACTACTTTCTCTATTTTATATGATAATGAAATGAATATATTTTAGTTTTGGACTGTTGGACAGACAATGAAAGCTGTTTGAATATTCAACCTCAGGCTCTGGAAGTGGCTATTAAACAAATACATATTTCATGACATATTGCCGGAACTTATTTGTTTAGTCACTTAATGCAAAATTGAAGCAACCAGAAGCAAGTTTCCAAAATAAGAACATTGAAAATGCCAGTTTAAATTGACTGCACACTGTAGACACTCAGTTATTTTCCAGAAGGGAGTAAAACTATCTGCATGAGGCTGAAGTTGTTCATGCCAGATACAAACAAAGTTAGCCATTTGGCTCCGATGCCCAGTCATCAGTGTGTTGTATACACCAGTTGTATGGTTGAGTTCATCTACTGAGTAATAGAATTGACTGGAAAATTGTACAAGACAATAGAAGTAAACATTGTGGGCCACATTAGTAAACTACCAGTGTAGGAGGTTTACATGCCATTGCAGTTGGTTCAATGGAAAATGAGTGGACCAACAAGGTATTTGTGTCAGACTGTCAGGGGATGTCAAATGTTATAAACAAGTGCAATGAAATGTGTATTGTGACTGCTGGAATGCATCTGAAGTGATTAATACATTTTGACTCCACAATCTTTCTTTCATGTAACATTGTCAGACCGTGGCAAAATACCATATAACATTTCCTATATCTTGAACTGTCAATAAAGCTATTTACTTGAGTAAAATACATTTGTTTTGTTTTGTAGGATGCCCTAAGGAATGGACTCGTGGCCACTGAGGTGCTGATGTGGTTCTACATTGGAGAGTGCATTGGCAAAGGAGGCATTGTTGGATACGATGTCTAAAGAGTGAACTGCCCTTTCTCCCATTGCACTTCTAATTGTCACATTCTCAACACATTGCACAAAATGTTCAAATAAACAATGTCTAAAGTCAGATATTTGCTGTCTTAAAAAATGTATTGACACATTTATTTACTCACAAAACACAACAAATAAGTCAACAGAATGGACAAAATCAACTAACTGTAGGAAAGTATTTACATGGTGTTGTGGACGATTTCATGCCATTTCCTGACAGCCAAGATATATTATTTAAATTTAAATAATTTAAATTGTTTGTATATCTTACACTTTAACAAAGATTGCAGATTCAACTAAATATTTAATCAAGCTGCATATTTTATGATTTTGCTGCTATGTAATGATGGACATCTCCTCTCGTTCTCGACTCTCCGACATTGTTTTCACAACACTTCCTAAGTATTTGCAGAAAGCTTGCTTCACATCCTCTGGCTCCTCCTCCAGGTTGGAGTGGATAAGCGGCAGTCGGCCTAAATGTGAGGCTGCATTGAAAAGAATGAACATATTAGCACAGGAATAGTAATTACAATAACTCCTACAGCAGCTGTGGCAGGCCTGCAGTGTGAATACCTAAAGGGAGCCGTCCATCTTCCACCGCGCTGCCGGGCTTGTGGTGAGCAATGAGTAAACACTGGCTTTCCTGCAAGCTCTGAGAGGAGATGAACATCGAGTACCACGTCTCTATTTCCTTTAGGTGACTTGGGACATTAGGATTAAAAATGATCACCACACCGCTGGAGTCCTTTATTATTGCAGGCCAGCATGCCTCCAATCTGTGAAGAGAATATATTATAATACATTATTAAAAGCAATTATGAAAAGTAATTTGAAGTATGTGTTGCCAGATGGAATGGGGATATTAAAGCCTTTAGCCATTGAAAGAGTTTGATATTTAACTTACTTAAAATCTCCTGAACAGTCCCAAAGTTCAACATCACATTTGTCATTGTCGTGACTGCCTTCAGCTTGTGATTCAAATTCCAGTATCCTTTGAACAGTTAGAGATACTTGTTAACAGTAACAGCAGAGTACAGCTGCAATATGTTTTCTAACGTCAGAAGATAATTACAGTCAAAGCTAAAAAGATAGGATATACCCTTCATCATCCAACAATGAAGGTAATATATTTTAGACTACATTTATAAAATGACACTCATAATATTCTGTCAGATCATGTTTTCCTTGGGTAATTGGTGTACCACGGTAAAGTTGAGACAGTGTTTGTACCTTACTCCTTGTGTCGGTCTGTATTCACCTCCAACATCTGCTGTGTCTGAGAGAAAATTTGCAAGAACCGTTTTCCCACTCTGAAAAAACAGACACATTAAAAAATTATATTAGCTACAATCAACACAGGTGATACCTAAAACAATAGATGCATTTTGTTTACATGTTACAGTTGCAGGACTCTATCTTGCCATACTAGCCCTTACAATGTATCAGTGACACCTCTGCTTTTTCATACAGTGACAGGTCTGAGAAGGTAACATTTTGAATGTATATTGTTTTGCAGAAAAAGGGTTTCTTAAGTCATTTTAATACCACAGTAGGAAATGCATAGATGTGCCTATAAATACAATTCAAGAATATAAAGAAGTCTTTCAAGAAAATTGAACAGATTAATACAATAGCTCTCATATAAATACAATGAATTTAAAAGAACATTTCCTCTGAAATGTAGTGAAAGTACAAAGTAAGATAATGGAGATGCTGTACAAGAATGATTGCCTTAAAATTGTAACTGAAGTTACAGCCATTACAGACACTACAGATCAGTAATCACTGATTATGATTAACCTTTGCAGACTTCTCAACTAACATAAACAAACGCAGACAAGCTGGGTACATTTACAGCCCATACACAGAGGCTCAGGTCTATGCAAGCATACAATATGTACGCCTATCCATGGAGTTACCTATCCACATTTTACACTACAAATCGGCTACGTTACAGTAGGGAAACATCTTCAACGTACCTCATTGGGACCAATAAAGAGAACTTTTGCTTTAAACATTTCCAGCCGCCGAGCATTAGAGTTAGCTGCACAGCTAACTCCGACTGAACTGAAGAAGCTCTGACAATGCTATATTACGAAACCAACGTAAGTAAAATAACGTTCCGTTTAACTATCAGTATATATCTAATCAGTGTTATGGTTGGTTTTGAGTTTCACGCAACAAAAGGTACAACATGTTAATAATCTTGGTAACTTGATGTTACCAGAAGATGGTTGATATTCCGTTCCGTGGCAATAAACTTCCTTTTCGTTTCTATGGTTTCAACAAGTCTCCTTGCTCATTGGCTATACACTACTTTAATCAAATGTAGTCCCACCCATTTTCCTGTTTGAGAACAAATCAGGAGCAAGCAAAAGAGTCTACGTCATTACGTTGCCTCAGCACTAACCAATCAGAATCAATCCTGTTAGAGGGCTCTTCAGTTTCGAGTAGCGTTGTTAACAACCACAACCGACATAAGGCAAAAGCGTAGGTACTATTTACATTATTAGTGGCTCTATTTCTTAAGAATTTACTAACGTTTCAATATATTATACATGTTGTTAATGTCTGTGGCTCTACTTGGAAGAATTAACACATCGTTGCTGTCGTTAGTATAACGCATAACGTGAAGCTAAGAAGCCACTAACTATGTTGCTATGGAGGAGGCTTAGTCAGCTTGACAACATACTCTCACTGTCCTTCATAATACTTTGCAATCCAGAGAGTAAACAGTATAAATAAGCACATTTTAAATGTTTTGTTTGTGTGAACTAACTTGCTGCCCTCATCTGGATATTCAAAGTAATTTACACAGTGTATTATTCTCTCAGTAGTAAGAGGCATGTCTCCAGAGGATGAACTCCATAGTCCCCCCCTTGGTTTCAGCTCTACCAGGGATGATGGCACTCTGAGCTGTGGAGATCTAGCTATCTCTCGTGAGCTGGGGGGAAGAAGCAAGACATGCAACAGTTCCCACACAAGAACCCCAGAGGCTGACATCAACTGGTGAGGTCCTATGATTGCATGTGATTACATACAGTCCCAATGTGTGAAACAAACCATCCATTCACTAGCAGCCACAGCCTTACTGTTCTGTTTTGATGTGATGATTATGTCACATGTGTACTGCTTTTACACGTGCATGAATAATCAATTTATGAGGCTTATTCAACTCCAGTAAACAGTAAGAAGGTTACTAGTTTGTAACTTGATTTCCCGTGCTCATGTAAACACCATATTCCCAATCTGTTCATAAGCTTGAAAAACCTCATAAATGTGTTATTTTACATGTGAAATTCACTATGAGGATTACCCTAGTTATTATCATATTGTGTACATAGTCATAAATGGATAATCCCAAAAACTGATCATAAACAGGTAATTCATGTCTATGTAAACTCACTCTATTGTTGACTGAATTTGTGAAAACGCTTGTTTATGTCTGTTCAACTTTAAACTACTTGAGTTGTGACAAAACTATTCTGAAATGTGATTGTGTGCTCACCTTCCAAAACATTTCCGTGTCAACTTACATTTAAACTGCCCATCTGTCATCCTTTTGCATCTACTAACAATCATTTTTTCTTTGTTTGGTTTAGTTTTGGAGACTCTGCCGATGGAAAAAGCCCCTTCCTGAAAACACTGATGGACGCAGAAGCAGCTGCTAACTCTGCTGCCATACAACTTGTGTCTTTTAAAGATGCCATGGAAGATGACATTTCCGTATGTTGGTTGCAATTTTGCATATACCAAATCCTGTTCTAACATGGGCCCTCCATGTTGAAAACCCTTACACTGCCCTCTATTCTAATTTATTTTTCTCTTGCACTTTAAGGATTCAAAACAGTCTGCCATTGATAAGCGCAGAATAACAAGGCAAAGAGGACTTTTGCTTGAGAAGTTGGAGAATTTTAGAAGAATAAATAAGTCTGTCCGACAGAAACTGAAACAGCTCCAAGATGCAGAGGTTGGTTACAATATTTGCAACTTGTCTTTTGCCCTGGGTAGTTATGTCATTGGTTTTATATGTGAAGTTCTAGTTTTTATAAATTAGCTTTAAAGGTCCCATGTCATGCTTTCCCGGTTATTACCCGTCCCCTTGTGTGTTATGAAGGTTTTTATGCATGTAAACAGTCTGCAAAGTCACAAACCCTCAAAGTACACCCTGTAGCGAGTAAAACTCTAACACAGAAAATACCTGTCTATGCTGCCCCTTTAAATTAACAACTTGAACACACATTTCTTAGAAAAATGTCAAAATGTGTTTTTCATTTTCCTAATATTTATATTTTGTGTCTTTACATTCAGGCTTATCGAATTGATGCGGACAAAAAAACTGACATCCTGTTGAAGAGGATCACACAGGCTGAGAGTGAAAATGAGGTGATACATGTTTTTTGTTCGTTTTTTAAAGGTCTGTAAGTTCACATTATTTACAATTTGTTTAGTTAATTTACCTTTTTATTTATTTTTCAAAAGAACCGATAAGAGTACCGTTAAAGGACCGGATCGATAAAAGTAGTAGTACCCTTAAAACCTTAACGATACCCATCCCAACTAATATAGCATAATAACTCTCAAAGTGGGGAAATTCCTGTCTCAAATCATTTGCTTAATGATGTCATTTTTCGCCCATTTTTCTCCCAAAGCATTTAAAAAGACACTTGAGTGAGACAGAAAGAAAAATAGAAGACATGATGAATCTGCGGCGAGAAGACCAGGTAAACAGATTTTTTCAGACGTGGTTGCAGACTCTAAAAATGCAAAGGAGGCAGAATTCATGAATTGTAAAAGACTGTTTATACTGGCCTTCACAGGAGAACATAAAGAGTGCAGTTCAAGTGAACAAGTCTGTGGAGGCGACTCGGGCTCACCTGCAGGGGCAGCTGCGCAACAAGGAAGCTGAGAACAACCGTCTGACTGTGCAGCTCCGGGTACACACCCTCACTGCTCTCAGGTTTAACATAATAAAAGGTAAAATATTGTAGCCTTTCCTTATGAGCATGCTGTCTTTTCCAGACTGTGGAGAGAACCATGACCGAGCAAAAGATGGAGATTGATGATCTGAAAGCTTCCATCCCATCTTTGAGTGAGAAGGTAGCAAAGGACAAAGACTCTCTAAAGAAAGCCTGCCGGGCACAGAAGCAGAGAGCTGAAAGATTTGAAGCCGCTATTGAGAAATGCTATACACAGATGCGTGAAAAGGTACAAAAATCAAAACTAAAATAGTATTTTCTATACATTGTCACCGTTTATAATCTTGCTTTGACTTTCTTTTTCTCGTTTGGCATACAGGATGCTCAGATAGCCAAGGCCCGTTTAGAAAGAGACTCCAGGAGACAGCAGAAAGAGCAGGAGTCAGATGAGAGAGACAAACTTGTAGTTCAAATAGAGGTGTTGAAAAGGTCAGTCTCTTTTATAGTGTAAATCAATACACACATCCACACATTTAAATAATGGATTAATAATGTATACTTTCAAAAAAAGCCAAGTTAAGGACATGACAGCAAGGCTGCGGATGGACAAGGAGGAGCTCACTGCAGCGAATGAAACTGTGATGCAACGTGTTGAAAAACTCAGCGCTGAAAACGGAGACCTACACATCAATAATACAACACTCAAGGTACACGTTTCAAAACAGCTAGCAATTGAGAATCATTACTAAAAGACTGTTTATACTGGTGTTCACTTTGAAGGCACTTTGAATTGCCTTGTGTTGAAAGGTGCTATATAAATAAACTTGCCTTGCCTTAAAGTTATATTTCCTGCAATCAGACTTTTAGTCATCTGCGGGAAGCTATCAATCTGTCACATTTGTCTATTTTGTCTGTCCTCTGTGCACAATTGTGAAACTTTGAAAACCTTCATTCATTGTTTTTATTTTATGTTTTTGTCCATCAACCTAATGTAATGTTGATGTAACTGCAGGTCTCTGTTGCTAAGATGGAGCAGCAGCTGGCTGAGTGTGAGTCCGCCTTGATAGAGGAGAAGGTTTTGTCTCAGGAGAGCAAACATCAAGCCGCACAGTGCCAATCTCAGGTGACATCAACTCATCCATTTTAGAGTTTAGTTTTAAGCTCCAACCGGGAAGATTAAAATTCCCTCAGCAGAGTTTTGCTCTTTAAATACATTTAAAAAAAGATAATGAGTTCAAACACTCCATTTGCAGCAAACATTGTCCTACTTAAATCCACATTGCAAGTGTTTTTAGCTATATATTTCTGTAGATTATGAATGCTGGGGAAACATCATTACACATCTGACCAGGGAACACACAGGGGGGAAACTAACAATTCTAAAGACTGCAAGTTGCTTCCAATCACTTGACCTTTTCTTCTTTCCAAACACAGTTTTCCATTTGTGTTAATTTACAAGAAAGACGTCATACCGACGTCTTAGTCATTAATGTGGTCTGTTGATATACCTGAATGAGTGATTCATCAATAAAATACTAGTTTTCAGTTATTAGTTGAAAAGAGGCCGACAGGTTTGTTCACACCGCTCTCTGCTCTGTTTGTTCTAGGTCTCAGAGCTCCAAGCAGAGTTAGATGAACTGAGGATACAATATGCAAACCTCATAAGAGATACAGAGAAGACACAAGATGGAAAAGATACAGAAGTAAAGAAGGTAAACTCCCGTCTCTCCATATACATTTATATATGACGATTAGAATGTTTTTATGTGCACAAAACCTTAATAAATACCAGTATGTTTATCCAACAATATGTATCATATTTATGAAGACTAATAATTTTTCCTTTTGTTAAAACATTAAAAAAAACATTAACACATTAACACAAAACATTAACACATTTTAACAACGCTTTGTTTGTATATTCAGCCCTGTAGCACTTTCTCCTCTCCTCTTGAATGGCTGTAGCAGGCTGTTAAATGTTTATTTTGTTGTGTAACATTTGTTGCCCCTGGACATTCTAACTACTAAACTTTCTCCAGTAATGTTGCGCTTCAAAGCACTTCAACTAACAACTGCGCGAGCTCAGTCAAAAGATAAATCTCAGCTAATTCTGCTTATGCTTTAAGTGCGACCGCCTACAAGGTTTGTTGAATTACTAGGCTAATGTTTTGTGTGTTCCCCACACTCCCTCTGGAGGTGAGGCAGGAGCTGCAGGGGCGCGTGGACAAACTGGAGCGTTACCCTGAGTTACTGAGCGCAGCCGAGCAGAGTCTCTTCGAGTGCCAGGAGAACCTGCGGCGCTCGGAGAGGAAGTGCTCAGAACAGTCAGAGTCCGTTAGACAACTG